ATTGCCACTCCCCTTCGCAAAGAACACATCTCATGCGCAGGTCACTTGCTACACTTGTGTTACATGATTTACACCTGACCCAGTTATCGAACAGTTTGTCTTCTCCTCGGAAACTTTCCTTTGCAATGGGGATGTTCCAAGTAACACGAAATCCGATTTTCTAATGAATGAGTCAATGGACATTAATTTAGAAAATCCGGATGGAGACGGCAATGCATGCAACCCGCCTTGTCTTTGTGTTATGAGTTCATGCAGAAAATGCTTCCTGAAAGCCTCTTGAGCTAAAATCGTTATGTGTTCTGTTCAGAAGTCGATGCACCCGCCTAAACGGAAATGGTTGGGGTGGCGGAAGGGTTGGTGAGTGAGATTTCGATATGAACGCTTTCTTTCGACTTAAAAAATGTAAAAGCGAGGACGCGCTCTTCCTTTCTTGCAGGTAACACCGCGTCGTTTTGGAACGCTCTGGAAGACGCATATTTCGAGTCGCTCGAGCTGCGCGGCGTTTTTTTTCTAAGAGACACAACAGCAGAGGAATGATCACCACAACACCTACCTAACGTGAAATGTTGTCTTTTCAGTGGCGACCTGCAATGCAAAATGCCATTCGATATCCCACAAAATGTGCCAATGGACGTGCATTCGGGGTTCCGGAGGACATTGTGCTGGAGGAATGGGAGCAGCAATACAGGTTGGTTTTGTGCGGATAATACGTGTATATTCAATGTTCGTAGATATCTTTCCTGAAAGGCTCTCCAGCTGATAATGTTATACTTTCTGTTCAGAAGGCCACAAGTTCACCAAAATTGCGACAGTATGCCTTAGGGAGAGATTCAACCGTTATGAAGACAACCCGGAATTCACATTTTTAGAGTGGTTCAACAACTGCTTAGTCGTCCTCTTTTCTGTTCAACTAAAACGATACCAATATTCACAACGAAGGAGTTTTCTCCGACTTAAATTCTGATCCACAAAATAAAGCTATATCGGATCCATAGATCTTCCCTCACAATGGCAATGTGTCTGCGGTAATACAATGATATGGGCCAAAGCTCTGCAGTTTTCTATCAATAATTATCAAAATAAATGTAGTGTGGTTCGTCGGTGGCGTTGCACTTTTGAAGTCGGCTCTCAGCTGCATTGAACACTGCGTCAGGAAGACAACGATAGGATACTGTGTTGTAAGTTACTATACACCGGGTTTGGCACTCTTCTTTTCATCGAACACCATGTAAGATTTCAGGACGATATGTGAGAGGCCGGGAGAAGCTAATGTTTTTTTTTT